TCAAACTAGTGAAATTTGTAGCATTAATTTGGTGGCCCTTAAATAAATAAATAAATACACAAATATTTGTTTGTTCTGGCACTGACAAGGAGTTAAAATAAGAAAATCTCCTGTTTAGCCAAAACCTGCAAGCAGGTAAATTACAAACAGCAGTGGATTTTTACTGATATCCTATCGCTGACACTGTGCGTGCAGATACAAAGAAACTAAAGGCCACGCTTTTCCTGCCATTCGAATAAAACACGAACGTCTCATGACAACACACTCAAACACACACATACCCCCCAATGACAGTCTGTACCCCTGTCCATCTCCTTAATCCACCATCACTATGAGAGAAAAGCCTATCTAGGGTGATATTTGAGGTGAGCAATGGTTGTTGGCTAGCCGTAAGTCCTCTTTGGTAAAGGATATAACTGGGATTATGTCCGCATCGGGCTGCCTTTAGAACAGGGAGATGAATTCTCCTAGTTTGAGCATCTCCAAATGTGGCCGCCGGGATCATGCTAATATTTATGATTACTTAGCCGAGGTTCTTATCTGCAAACTGCCACACTGCACCCAGAATAATTTTGTTCTACTGCAATATCTCACAATCGATTTTTTCTTTAAAGGAGACAAAATAACACAATATTAGGCTGGTAGCCTCTGCGCTTAGCAGGAACAGATGAGGGTTTGGAAAAATTGGAACGTTACATGATGATGATTGAGTGACAGGTGAAGGCATAATTATTAACCTGGTTTTGGGGAAAATTTACATAAGCATTAACCCACATACTAACTTTTTTTTTTGCCTTAACTTTTACACAAACTATTTAATTTATGCACAGTATCTAAATTTGTTACTTCCTTCTTTGATGTATAGGCACTAGTGTTGGGAACCAAAAATTATGAAAAAATAAATAAATACTGGAACCAAACAGTTTTCACACATCCATTCTTTTGCTGATGTAGACGGAGCTAGAATACTCTTTTGACAGAATTTACTGCAATTTTAATGGCGCTGCAACAGTAGTAGATTTTCTACTGAATCTACGACTCGAAACAGAGAAATGTAATTTGCTTACTGAACAAATGTCGGAAAGAGATGAAATGAAATGAAAATTCTTTCATAAATTATTCACTCTCATGTTGTTCCTTCGTTAATCTTCAGAACACAAATTAAGATATTTTTGATGAAATCCGAGAGCTTTCTGACCCTGCATAGACAGCAATGCAACTACCACGTTCTGAGGTTCAAACTTAATTTTATGAAGCTGCGAAAAATATATTTTGTGTGCAAAGAAAATTAAAATAACAACTTTGTACGATGTGGTACTCTCGTGAATGTGCGACAAAGATTGACATGGAAGAGAAGAAATTGCTAAATAAAGTAATATTTTTTGTTTTCTTTGCACACAAAAAGTATTCTCGTAGCTTCATAAAATTACGATTGAACCACTGACGTCACATGGACTATTTTAACAATGTCCTTACTACGTTTCTGGGCCTTGAACATGATAGTTGCTTTGCTGTTTATGGAGGGTCAGAAAGCTCTTGGATTTCATCAAAAATATAATTTTTGGGTGAACTATACCTTTAATGGATGTTTATTTTTTGATCAGTCAACTTCACACAGTGCCAGTGCAGTCCAAATGTATGATTCTTAAGAGGTGGAACTTTTTAGTGAATCAAAAACATACAGCGTAGTCCAATTCCAGAATGAATGACTTTGAGTTGGTCCTTTTTAATCAATCAAAAAAACACAGTTTACAACGGTGAAGCTGACCCACTGACTGGTTGTTTGTATGTATGACTAAGTGTCTGTGTGTGGTTACACAATAAACAATTATGTGTTTTGTCAGTGTTATTTAGTAAAAAAAGAAGAATTTTGCCACATTTAATATGTAAATATGTATCATTTGTGTTGCTGATTAATATTTACAGCCAATTTAATATAATATAATATAATATAATATAATAATATATTATAATTTATTTTCTGTGAAATTACATTAAAAAGTCTCGGTAAATACACCTTTTGCAAGGAATTTTTAAAAATGTTTTTATTATTGTAATTATCTCATCATTTGCCAATGTAATTTCATTTCTCTATTCCATATATTCCTTAAAAGTATTAAAAGAATCATTAATGAAACCACTGTTCATGTTCGCGTAACTTAAAATTATATTTCTGACACCGCTTGAAGGCTGTCCCTGTCAAGTCCCTTGTTTTTTCTTTTGTTTCCACATCCACACATCCACTTTCACTTAAAATACAAACAGAATCTGGATGCTTCAGTTCCTGTTGAGTCCCAACGTGCTACAACACAGTGACCTTCAAGATGTCTCTTTGGCTCTGCTGGTAATTACAACAACCACACTCATTAGCCAACAACTGTCAACCTCCTGTGATTTTGTCGGTTTACCCGAGAAGCTTCGTGTACTAGTGTGAGCTAACATGGTTATGCATGGAGAACATCAAAGTGCTCTACAGAACATATGGTTATGAATACGAAAAACAAAATCTAAATAATTACCCACAATTCCCTTCCTTTTTGTTTGGCTTTCATTAAAATGTCAAAACGACTCTTTACAATGTATGTCATCTTTACAGCAGGGACAAACAGCGGGTTGAAATGATAGCGTTCCCCTGTGCCCATTTAAAAGAGTCTGTAGTCATTCTCCCTGGTGCAGTGTCTCTTACAGTGCCACATTAACACCTTCTCAGCTCACTGATTCCAGAGCTCCTTTTTTAGGGAATCAAACACACTCAGTACAGCACTACTGGGAATAACCCCCCTGATTTCTCCTGGCTGTAAGGGGTGAGTGTGTGTGAGTTCATCCCCTGAGATTGTCGAGTGATTACACACATATTACAGTGTGCGAGCTCCCATGTCACATTAAAATTGAGCTTGCTCCTAATAGCATCTTTAGCCACCTTCCTTCCACCCCTCCCTCTCTTTCTCTCTCTCCTTTCCTTTCTTTTTCTACCTGAATGACTGTTAAAATGACCTCTGAACAAAAGGTCAAGTGCTTCTCTGCAGACTTCATTTTTTTTAAGGGCCAGAGCTACAGTACAGAGTGCTTCAAGGTAGCCTAGCATGAAATTGTAATGCCGTGATAAACAATAGGTGCAGGCTTCACTGTTACACAGATGCAGCGTGTGGGTTTTGCGTAGGTGTGGGGCGGTAATGCACATGTGTAATTTCACAAGGACCCACATCGACCTGCAATCATGTGTGTTCCAATGCGCACATGAAATTGATTCTGTGCTGAATGTACCGTGGTTCTATGATATTTTGAGTAAAAAAACGAAACAAAAAAAAACAAGTAAAAAAGTGATAAAGATATTTTTAAACAGTATTATAATATGCAAATAAAAAACAACAACGGGGTCTCCCTGTTCGATGTGAGCTCATTAATTTTCAAAGTGAGCTGGCACCTTCAGGTTAAATGAGCTACAGGCGACAAGATGTTGGCATGTCCAGTGATGTGACAAAGTTGAGAAAAGTTTCACTTTATGCAAATGTACAGTGACTACCAATGAATGAAGACAGTGGAACTCTTGTCTCCTGGCAGCTATTATGCTTGAGTGTCAGTAAGATGCAAGAGAAGTTAATCTTTGCAGTGAGCAACTTCCTGAATGTATATGATATGTCACTGATTTGGTATGTGATCATTTGATATTGATATTGAAATTTAAAAAACAAATCTAAATTATATTAAATGTATGGCTGTAAATTGTGTGCATGTGTTGGAGTGTACCACGTATCCCGTGGGCCCCAGTAGAGATTTGATTTTTGAATGAATACTGTGATTCAATGATGCGCCACTCTTTTTGCCTTCACAGACTCTTTTCTAGCACTCAATTTGCCTTCACATCATAGGAAAGGTTCCTTACCATTTTTACTCTATCAGACAGCAAGAATCATATATTCCATGTGTACTTTATCAGCAAACTGAATTGTGGCATTCCTGTGACTGACATAAATAGAATTCCAGAATGTTTGGCTGCCAGACTGAGTTTTCTGTTGGTCAGCGCTGGTCAGTCAATTTGGCCAATGGCCGATACCAATTTCTATAGAAATGCTTGGATTTTGCATCAGCAGCTTTAACTGCGCCTGCACCTTTAATAGGCAAGTGTTCCATATGCACTAACATACATTAAAAATACTCAAATATGTTGATTAAATATTTTTTTTAATTTGAACTTATTCATTTACGAGTTTAAAGCATGTTTGGTGATGCAGTTCCCTTATCCAAGACAATTTCTTTCATGGGAAACAATAAAAATAAACTTAACCTTAATATATAGGCCTAGGCCTGTAATATATGATATCTTACAATTAATATATAATATTTATAATTATAACACCACTAAAAATGAACTTTTAACACCAGGATATCACATTATTCGGATATAAAATAATTATTTTTTTTTAATTTGAACTTATTCATTTACGAGTTTGGTGTTACATGTTTGGTGATGCAGTTCCCTTATCCAAGACAATTTCTTTCATGGGAAACAATAAAAATAAACTTAACCTTAATATATAGGCCTAGGCCTGTAATATATGATATCTTACAATTAATATATAATATTTATAATTATAACACCACTAAAAATGAACTTTTAACACCAGGATATCACATTATTCGGATATAAAATAATTTGAAAGGAATCTCAATGGACCGCTCACAGCTCTCAGACGCTATTGTCCTTGAACCTTGAGAGCTTACTTTGCCTTTTATTTAATAAAAAAATTAATAAATGCCGTGTAATCATTAGCCGCTTGTAATGTGAGCTAAAGATAACCAAATTTCAGCATTTTCAACACCGCCTCCCATTCAAGGGGGAGTAACTCTATGCGGTGGAATTTTATCAGACGTGATTTGATTGGCCCTTCGCTAATCCCCCTTCTCTGCAAACTCATTTTCCATTGGACGTTCTCACTGTCAATCAGGCTGTCTGTGCCCGCCCACCGGTGGCGCCAAATAAGGCACATAGTACCGCTGTATGTGTCAGTAGCCCGGACGGCTCCGTCTCATCCCGCACCGTGAGTCAAGCGTGCTCGGCTGCGACATGACCAGAGCCCCGCAGACCTGGCCACTCAAATATGGAGCAGTTTAAAGCGATCATTTTGGTGCTTTGGATACTATTGCTCTACAGAAATGAGGAGTCCCGTGCAGAGGAAGGTATGTGTCTTTATAGTTGTTTAGACGCCAGGTAAATTGTTTCCGTACATGGCGTGAAGTGTCTAGTGGAAGTATAACTCTCACTGCAGGCGTGTGCTTTTCATATTCCGGCGCTGTAAAGTTAATAAACAGATACAGAGAGGACTGAATCAGTGATGCGTTTTCATTATGAGAAGCTTTGAATAAAACTTGAAATCGAAATGACAGTCGGCGTGCTTTTAAAAACAACGATCCTAAGGAATCCGCTATAGGACGCTTTTGACAACTGCAACAATGTGTTGTTTAAGGGGAAAATGTTCATAAATAAATTGTTGAAAATGAACGAATATGGTTTTGTGTTTGAATTGCTTAGTTAGGCTACTAAAACAAGCAAATCACAATAAATTGTGGTTGTGCATCGTTTCAAAACAAAATTGTCTATATAAACAGTTTTTAGTATTGTAATATGGAGGTTAAAATGACAAGATAAATGTTTAAAATAAAAAAGATAATTAGACAATCATGTACTGTATGTGCATATATATATTTTAATGATCTTTATTTATTTTTTTTTTAAATAAAATGTACATAAATGTTTCTGTTTTGTCATAATCTGTATTCTTTTTTCTCTGTCTTGTCATTTCTCTTGGTCATGTCTTCATTTTTCGTTGTCGTGTCATTTTAATCTCCTTATTATAATTCTACAAAAGCAGATTTCAATAGATCAGGCTGTTATACTGGATTCACAATCGGTGCTTTTCTGACTGTGCTGCTCCTGGTGGGATTGTTTGACAGTCATGAAAGCTTCAGCAGTTTTGATGCCAGGCTGTCGCATTAGGCTCAGGTGAGGTCAACTAAGCGTCCCAATGAGTGGCATGGCACAGAGAGGGAAAGAACAGATAATAGCTGCGTCCCTTCAGGCTATTTGGCTATGCTGAAGAAGCCCAGCTGAGCCAGGCTGCTCTCTCTTGCTTTTTTCCCCTTCTTGCACTCTCGTACACAATGCTCTCATGTGCACATGGTTGAACTCTGCCAGCCCCCGTCCGTCTTCTGCTGGAATGCTGGTCGACTGGATTGGAATTGTTGCCTTAATGAATGTTTTGACTGCGATTAATTGCTGTGAAAGCAATGTGTTCTGAAAGGCCTTGTGTGGCTGCGCTGATATGGACGTTTTCTGATTGAGCTGAATATGTTCTCACTGTACGGAGAACCTCTTTGTCCGCAATTACATCCCAGTCCTGCTGCGTCGTTCCCTTTGTATTCAGCCCCACGGTATTCGGTCGCTGACAGGTGGGATTCAGACTAGATGAGAGCTCTTTGTTGGTGCACATTAAACAAAGAGCTAACATAAGTGAAAATTGTAGTCATTTACTTACCCTCAAGCAATTTCTAAACTCCTATGTGATGACATAGCATAGCATATGTCATCTATTCTATGGTTTATTTAGGATCAACAAGATTTATTTTTAAATAAATGAATACTTCTATTCAGCAAGGATGCATTAATTTGATTAAAAGTAACAGACATTTATAATGTTACAAAAAATGATATTTTCGATAAATGCTGTTATTGTGAACATTCTATTAGCAAATATTAAGTATATTATCAATGTTGATATTAATAAGAAGTTTCCTGAGCACCAAATTAGCATATTTGACTGATTTCTGAGGGACACGGTGAGACTTTGACAGTCTCCGCTTTGCCATCTCAGGAATAAATTACATTTGAAAATCTATTATAATAGACAAGTTATTTTAAATTGGAATAATATTTCACAATATTACTCTACTTTTGATTAAATAATGCAGCTTTGGGGAGCATAAGAGACGTCTTTGAAAAACATTTTTGTTTACTTTTCAATTTTAAATGGTGTGTATATATCATATGGGAAAAGCTGCATAAACATTCTCTCAGGCTTGCTCCATCCATCTCTCATTTCTTTTTCTTTTCCTGTGTCATTTCCCATTCCCCAAAGTGCAGGTGTCTTTCCTCACATAGTCAGTTGGAGGTGGAGGCTCCTCATTCCTGACCCTTCAGCCTTAACGCACCTTGGCATCTCATTGTGGGCTTATTTACTGCTTTTTAGTGGGTTTGCGGTTGTGGCCATGTGCCGTCGCATCTGCCGCGTTGGTCATGCTGTTCCTGTGCCGTTTAAGTACTCTGTCAGGGTGCAATTCAGACCATATGAGGGCACTTACCTAGGAAAGCTTTATATGCCTGTCATCTCTGTGCTGGGTTCCATCAACAGACTCTACCAAACTCCTCCTGAATGGCATTATGCTCTCTGAGTTGTTGGCAGAAGTGTAAAATCTGGACTTGGGCTCTGAATGTGTTAACAATGTGGCAAAATCATCATTTATCGATTCAAACAAAGACCAGTTAGCATGGAAATTCATACCGGTGCAGTGCATTTATTAAAAGCATGATTTTTAGTCCTGGCTAATGGTGACGGGTTAGACTGTCTGATGTCTGTGCTTGCGGTGCCTGTACTTGTCGTTGAAGGTGGCAGCCGGACTGTGCGGGCAAGGTTAGAGTGATTTGTGAGGTTGGCAGGTGTAGCTGTGACATCCAGGAGTTTATTTAGTGGGCCGTTGTGATGTGTGGACTCACAATGAGCAAGAAGGAAAGTAAAACAATGAGGCCTGGAGACAGGAGATGGCTGTGTCTGAAAGTAGAAAAATGCTGTTTTCGTAGGCAGTGTATGGAGGTAGAAAGGTGAGCCGTTTCCGAATTTAATGTTTGCGCAACATCCTAGCTCTATTTAGCAGCCTAACTGCCTTCTATGGCAGCATCCTAACTGAAACAGAACCACATAAGCGATTGATCTGAAGCGCTCTATATAGGCAGCAACTTGTGCGTCATAGAAATAGTGTCATGGAAGACAACTAAAAATGTATTTCAGTGCAGGCGATGTGAGAGGAATAGTGGTGCAATGGATCACAAAACTCACGGTTCGGATCATATTACGGATTTCGAGTCACGGATCGGATCATTTTTTTGGATCAGCAAAAAAAAAAATTTAGTGAAAGCTTACTTTAAGTACTTCTATACCACAGCAAAAACTACTAGCTTAACTAATAAAGTTAGTAATAAAACAAGAACGATTACACAAATTACAAGCATAGATGAATACAACAAAACACAGTTACAAGTCAGTAACTGTAGCATTCCTGTGCTCACTGCACAAGTTAAATACAGATTAATCTTTGTTAGAGCTGTGGTGTTATTTGATTAGCAGACAGAAACCGGTATTTATTGGGTGCTGTCTCTTTAAGACCAAATGCACGGACCTAATACTGACACGCATCCAATTTTTTTCTCTGCTGTTTACGTTCACTTAAGACAATACTTGCCAAAACGGGTATTTTAACATAACTTTGTGTGTATGTGAAAGAGGAATCAATTCGCTGTTCATGCGGTGTCTCTCTCTCTGCGTGTGCGCGACAGCGGCTGAGCGCACAGAAAACAGCGCGTGAGTTAAAATCGCAGTTAATACAACAGTTAAAACAGTTAATCCGCGAATCACATGCGTGCAGAACCGTGCAGCTTGATCCGTACGGATCACGCACGATCCGTTGCACCCCTAGAGAGGAATGATGCATAAAATACATTGAGTAAAACAGTCTGTTTTAAATGATTGAGAAGCTGTTTTTATTAAGAATTTCATTATCATAAGTGTTTTTTTGTTAGTTTTTTTTGCTTTGCTCATAGTCATACTGTGGATTTCTTTCACTGAACTTTTCACTATGCGTTCTATGATCACATTCTTTCTAAGTGAAGGGTACATGCAATGCTGCCCTTAAATTTGACCTAAAGAAAGTATTATTGCAGGTAGGGTTTTCACAATATCAAATTTTGTGAAAATTTCAAAAACATCATCATTGCCAAGAGAATTCACAATAACAGAATTATCACAATATCTACAGAAACTTTGAAAAAATGCTATAAAGTCAATTTCATCTTTATAATGTTGTTTTGTTTTCTCTTTTTTTTGATGGATCACCCTCAAAATAGGAATGTAGGGAGGAGAAGTGTGCGTTTGTAATTATAACTCTTCAAAAGTGCGCAAAAAGAACTTCCTGCAGACTGATGTGTTTAACAGTCTGTCATTTTTATGGAACCCAAAGGTGAGCTAAATTTTTGGGTCAAGTGTCTTGCTTTTTTCTGTCTTCTCCTCCCAACATGATTTTGTGCGTCAGTAATAACTGCATACTGTGTCATCGCCTTTTTTTATTTTTTTTATTTATTTTTTTGATAGGTGCAACACTGCCACCTACTATGTTGGAATGTTAATGAAATAGTTACTGGCACTAGATTATTTATGGTATTATCATTAGTGTACAGTTAACGTGATGTCAGTACTTCATTTCTTTTTATATATATAACAGTTATGGTCAATAGCAGTATATTACAACACCTCAAAGGGCAGACAGCATAATTAAGTTCCCTACCTTTTGGAACAGTCTTCAAAACTTAAATGTTCTTTTTTTCATGTTTTTACACTTCTAACGATAAATAAGCACTGTAATCATGAAATATTTGCTTGGGTACATTTAAAACTCACTCAAATTTCTTTTAGAATTTGCTTGAATTTATTAAAGATGTCATGGAAGTACATCTGAAACCATTTTCCTGAGGAAGACACTTGAACTGCCTCTTAAAGGGTTAGTTCACCCAAAAATGAAAATTAGCCCATAAATTACTCACCCTCAAGTCATCCTAGGTGTTTATGACTTTCTTTTTTCAGACGAATCCAGTCGGAGTTATATTAAAAATTGTCTTTGATCTTTCAAGCTGTTTCATGGCACTCAGCGGGTGTTGCATGCATCAGTCCAAAAGCACTTAATTAAAATGCGCCCATCCATAAAATAAAGTGTTTCACACGGCTCCGAGGGGTGAACAAAGGCCTTCTGTTGCAAATCGATGCGTTTTTGTAAGAAAAATATCCATATTCAAAACTTAATAATCACTTTAATGTAGCGTGCGCTCACTGTTGTACACTGGAAGCAGTTCCGGGCGG